CATCTTGTCACTGTAAATAAAAATCACCCTGTTGCCTTTGGGACCCAGAGCTCAGTTACAGTCTGGTCAGTCCCAGGCAGGCCATCATGAAGTCATGGTGCTGTTAGGTGATAATACAGGAAGACAGGCATTCTGGCAGCAGAGTGGGAGGAGGTGGCTATGACACTTATGTACAATTACATTAATGAACATGAAATTTGGCTCTATGCAGGCATTTCTTCCCAGGCTCTGAATTAGATTTTAGAGGGTAAAATAAAAGATAATAGAAGTCTTCTCTTCAACACCATTTTTCTTTGGTTATGCTTCCATGGATATGTCTGACAAAAGTCTTAAGTATTCTGGTTTATTAAGCAACCCATGTGCACTAAAAGTAAGTGTTGAAGGATACATTTTTAGTAGGACAAAGGTTACTAGTGTCTTTGTCCTTTAGGGAGGTTACACCCTCAAACTGAGTTCTTCAGAATGTTTTTACCTGAATTTGGACTGTTTCTAGAAAGCCAGATCTGCCCATTGGACCTTAAAGGGGGAAAAAAAAAAAACTGCAAAAGTGTTTGGCTGGACCAAGTCTATCAAAATCACTTTTTGAATGTTTTTAGGGTTTTTCCCGCACTTAGTAAGTGACTCTTCCATAAGGTCGGTCATGTATTTCTGGGGTCCAGAGACTATGTTGGGCTGGGATTTGGAGAAGGGGGGAAATCGAAAACCAAAAAACAAAAACAAAATCCCTCTGAAAATACTGTAGGGAAGATAAACAACAACAAATAACAAAAACCAAACCAAACCACATGGTAGGCAAAATAATGATTGACAAAGACCTGTTCATTTATTTGATAGGCATTTGGGAGGCAGTAGAGACATCTAGTTAATTCCTGGGATGTGTGAATATATATTACATTTTATTACAAAAATGGGCTTTGAACTTTGTAGATGTGATTAAAGGTAGCCACATGAGGAGATTATTCTGGATTTTCTAGGTGGCCACTGTTATCTCCAGGGTCCTTAGATGCAAAAGAGGGAAGAAGGAATGTTAAAGAAGAGATGACAGAAACAGACTCAAGATAGATGCGATTGCTGCTTTGGAAGAGGGAATAGAACTACCAACCAAAGAATGCAGGCCACCTCTAGAACTGTGAAAGACAAGTAGCAGATTATTTTCTAGAACCTCCAGAAGAAACATTAGAGGATCCGCCTAAAACTTGATTTTAGCCCAGTGATCTTCAGAACTGTAAAAATGATAAACTTCTCATGTTTAAGCCACTATATTGGTGATATTTTGTTACAGATAAAACAGGAAACTAATATACAAACACCTACAGGAGGAATATGCATCTAGAGCCATGGCATTGCTTTGCCACCAGATTGTATTAGGTTATATCATTAATTCTAAAACTTGGTATTAATCCTTTTGTAAAGACTGGGTGCGCTTGCTATAATCTATTTGCAATTTCCTCTTCCTCTATAGTGGACTAAAAAATAGGAAACAATAATAAAGGAAAGATTGGCTTATTCATTGTTTTGACTTTGTTAAAAGTTGAGAAAGAAAAATTCATCCCACTGTTGAAACTTTTACAAATTGGTTTATCTGGAATGATATTAAACCCCAATTACCTGGCTCTATAGTTTGCAGAAATGTGAGAGAAACAACTTTTCAGCAATGGTTTAACTTGAAATATATTTTGAGCTCTGCTGAGAACACATACATATCCCTTCCCCCAACACTTTATTGACTAATGTTTACAAAACCTTTCCATCTGTGTCATTTCTTTTGAGCTCCATCACTGCCACTCTGTCACATAGATGCTATTATCTGCATGTCAGAGATAAAGAAATGGGAGAAATGGGATTAGAACACTAGAATGCCTTGACCTTGACCAAGACCTCTGGGTCACTGAGAGCTGGAGGGGGATATGATTTGGAGTCGAAGGTCATGCTCTCTTCTCTTTACTACATTGCCTCAGGGTCTAGTTCCCAGCAGTGGACCTGCCTGACTAAATTGATAATATTTTTCAAAATCTCTGTCTTCCTAAAAAGAGTAAAAAACATTTTTATTATTTGGGAAGAGGAAGATGAGCCTCAAAAATAAAGATTGAACTTTTAGAATTCACATATTCCAGTAAAGCTATCTCATAATTATGAAAGGTAGACAATTGCTTGCCATTTACCTCTTATGTAGACCAATCTCAAATCATTCTAGAGACCACTCTATCCCCATTGTCCCAATGTGAGAAATCATTTTAATTCTGTGTACAGAAGAGCACATGTATGTATTTCATGTATTCCAGAAACCCCCAAAGGTTCTGTTCTGTCTTCCTTTGCACATAGGACATTTGCAGATTCTTCCTATAGCTACACAGTGGATAGCACAAGATGTCACACACTGCAGCCACATTGTAATGGAAGGTCAGCTCTTTTTTTGTTTTTTTAAATGCCTTCTGTTTTAATAATACTTTCCTTGTTCTAACTTTATTTTTTTATTTTATATTTTTTAAGATTTATTTATACAAGCACTGGGTACAGTCAGAAGTGTGGGAGGGTGAGAGAATTCATCAGAGTGGGGAGCAGAGCAGGCAGAAGGACCGAAGTACACTGCTGAGGGGAGCAGCGGGCGGCAGGAGAGGTCTGCGCACCATGTGGGACCCTCCTCCAGTGGCCGGGGAGCAGCCGGGGATCGAACCGGTGCCACAGATGCTGCGGGCAGCTTTGCAACCCAGCGCTCAACCGCTGCGCCACCAGGGAGGCCCGGAAGTTCAGATCTTGATGGCTGATGCCTGGCTGTAGCACCTGGGAGCTAGCTTGTAGAATATCCTGTCGAATTCAATGACAAGACAAAAGAAAACAGCCACATACCATGTTCTCCTGAGGACAGAGACCCTGATCCTAACCAGCAGTTCCTGTTTTCTATCACTGAGAATATAACAAGGAGGACTATAACTTATTTCAGGAGGTTGTGTCTATCTAACCATGATACAAAAAGAATATTAAATTTTGTCCTTGATATGAAGGCCTTTATTTATTTAATAGATATGTATTTCTTGAGTAGCAACAGTAGACTAATTCAGGTTTTGGCCTGTGTCCTTGATCTGTTATCTATAAGCTGTGTGAACTTGGTTTAGATGTAGAGCTATAAGAAATTAATATGGAAGGAATTTGTTTCTAGAACTGTGGCATTGCTATGCCACCACATTGTATAATCTTAGCTAAATTAATTCCAAAACTTGAGAAATACATGAGCTTTTATATGTGAAGTGTTTAGCGCAGGGTCTGGCCCAGAGTAAGTGCTTATAAAACATTTTTTTTTTTTATTGGACAGCCACTAAGGACATGGATTTCTACTGTGTATAGAGGGTACAGGAATAAACGAGACCAGAAGCACACATCTCCATGTCATCCCCATACTCTGACTCTTTGAATACGTTCTCATTACATTTATTTGAAATCACTATGCTATGCCTATGCTTATGCTTCCTGTCCCAGGATACCCTTTGGCAAGTATATGTTCTACTCAAATTTAACATAACCATACATTTGATAATCCACCATGATTGCTTATTTCTGCATACATTTCTTTATATGCTGTTTGTGTAAATGGAAATGTTTCTACCCATCATCCCTATTGAAATCTGACCAGACTGTCTGGCCCATTTTGGAAAACACTTCCTCCATAAAGCATCCCTCGCCGCTGCAGTCTCTACCCTCATAGTTAGTCTTCCCCTTTTGAGACTCCCTTGGCCCTTTTTATTTGTGTTCTTGTGGTATTTATCACTTTCTATTTGGAAGTAAAGTTTTTTAGTCTTTGGTTTATCTCTGCCCCTAGGTTGGAAGGTGATTAAGGGGGGGTCTATGAGTAATTCTTTATAGCTTTAATTCATGTGCTGCTGGTACATCATAGGTGCTCAATAAATATTTAATGAATAAGTATTTGTTGAGATGATGGATGGTAAACATATTTGTATTGCTTAGCCCCATCTTCTTAGGTGAGCACATGTGTGTAATAGCACAAAATGATGTGATAGGTTTTAATGTTTGGTTCACACAAATCACACAAGTGCACACCTCAACTGAGAAAATATATTTGAACAATGGTCACACACTTCCTGTATACCTGTATATTAGAAATATTGTGATGTTTTGCTGGTGTTTTCAGCTCTGACCAACCTCTAGGTGTCCTATATCTATACAGAGTGTCAGTGTCATAACAGCTGAAGAGACATGGGAATCCTCTGTGACTGAACCCCAGCTTATATGATCTGCACCTCTTTCTCCAGAGAGTATGAACTAGGAAAAATAGTCTAACTCTGAAAATATTAATCGTGAGCTGGAGAAAAGAAGAGAATAAATCCACCCATGACATAAATCAGAGTGAATTAGGAGAGAAGACTAAATGGACAGGGGCCAGAGAAGTTGGTAGTTTGTACATGTCCCCAGCCTATGTCAGTTGCCTGAGTTATTTTGTTTTGTTTATTCTTTCAGAATCATCAAGGTGCTAGCTTCTCCTTCTCAGTGGAAATAATTTTAGAAGATGAAATCTGTCCCCAAGCCCTGTTTCTGACACAGTTACCATAGAGTAATCAGCAAATACTGCAGTCTTTTGCAGCAACTTGAATATTACTCATGTCAATGTAATATTTCCACTTAGCCTAGATGCAATTCATTTTAATACTTTTGTCTGAAAAGAAAAATGTCTTCGATTTTTCTGATCACACATGGGTTCAACTATGTATCAATTCATTTTTAAGTTCAATATTTGTATTCCTGATTTAAGTGCAGACATAAAAAATAAGAGAGAAAAACTACCAATGAAAAGAGCAAGTTGCAAATAGAGGCAGAAATTAAAAGTTCATTGTCTAAACAAATTATGTTTAGAATTTCAGCCAATTAGTTCAGATTTAAAGTGAATAAATGCTGACAGTTGTGATGTTGATTATGAATACATTTATATTTTATTTTTTTTAAGTTTTATTGTTCTTGCTGATAGTGTGCTTTTTCTTCTCTTTCTTTAGGATAGGGTCAAAGTTTGTGAATATGAAGTCAAAGAAATTTGAAGAAAGGTGATTCAGGATTGGAATGATGGATTGATGAAGTCGACAGAGCCTGACTCCTTCCAGATCACAACTCTTCTTTCCAGAGATCTCAAAGAAGGAATCTGCATTATTACAGGTATTTCCCACCTTTTCAAGCTAGTTATGGTGCTATATTTTTCCAAAGAGCTACATTAGTACCTGTTTATGCTAATCAAAAGAAATCTGAGGAATATTTTCACTTCCATGACAATAGGCAAAAGTGAGGTGGTATACTCTCTTATTTCAAGCCTTCTACATAAGCCGCAGCAGTCCATGGATTTAGACCTTTGATATGGAGACAGGCAGACACAGAAGAAAGACCTTAGTGACCTGCCTGGTCTCCTGGATTAAGCCAATAAGATGTTAATACAGGATGTTCTTCCTTTCTCGCCTATACACCACTATCCTGTATCTCCCACCGCCCCAGCCTCCGTCGACTCAGCCTAACGCCATCACCATCTCTGGGTCTTCCATTGTGCTCACTGTCTTCCTGACTCAAAAGTGTAACTACATGTATATACACTATTTCTGTTTTGCACAGGCTGTGCTCATCTCATTCCTGCTTTTACTTTATGTTAGTGTTATTTAGGATTCATGTATTATTTGATATAATTTGGTAGGTTATTTTGAGGGTTTGGAAACACTCAAAATATTTCTATGTAAATTAATGGTAATAGTCTCATCACTTTACATCATTTTTTGTCTTTTATGTTTCTTTCATCTTGTAGGAGAAAGAGGGGAGATGAAAAGGGGAAAGAGATGGAGAGAAAAGGAGGTGGGGGGAAAGGGGAGGAAGAGAGAAAGAGACAGACTTTATGAAAATGACTTAACAAAAGGCTTAGTAGACTGTACTGCTTTGGATAACAAGGGCAATTTTACTGAATCAGTTTGTCTTTGTGTTTGCACATGAATATTTCACTCCTTTTACATTACTTTGTCGAACTGTACCTTTGGATATTAAGAAATACTCCTTTATTACTGAAGATACTTCTGTCTTTAAGTCTACATTGACTTATATAACATCTGCTTTCTTATGCTTTTTGTTCTTTTATGTTTTTTATTTGCTTATTTTCCCATCCTTATGTTTTTTTATTTATTTATTTTCCCATCCTTATTCTTTCAAACTCTCTAGTCTTTTTATTTTAAGTGGACCTTTTCTAGACAGCATATGCATTGTCACACTTTGTACATCCAGTCTGACAATCCCTATATTTGAAAGTTCTATGATTGCTTACATATTTTATTAAATACTGAATAAATTACAGAGGATACTTATAAAACAGGCCTGCAATATAAAAAAATATATAAGAAACACTCAGGTTGACCACCACCCAATTTAAGAATTAAAACATCACAATTAAATTTGAGACACCCCATGCACTCTCCCTTCTATCTATTCCCATTCCATCTGCCCTGGAGAAACATTAATCTGAATTGTGTTTGTTTCTCTTTATAGTTTTACAACAGTTGTTAATATTCCTAAGTAACATTTTAATTTTCTATATTTTTAATTTTTATAACCATAATAATATTTTTGTGCTTCTATGATTTGCCATTTTTACCCGTAAGTATGTTCTGAAGTTTCATCCATGTATTTGCATGAAGCTGTAGGGTATTTTTAAAATTTTTTATTGCAGTATTGTAATCAGTTTAATAACACAATGATCTATTTTATTGTTGGACATTTCTCTTGTTTAGTGTTTTGCTTTTATAAGCAGTGTTACCATGAGCATATTTTTATTTTATTTTTTAAAGATTTATTTATTGATGCATACAATACCTGGGGTATAGGCCAGAGGTATGGGGTGGGGTGGGGTGAGAGGATTCACCAGAAACAGAGTGGGGAGCAGAACAGGCAGATCTACTGAAATATACTCCTGAGGGGTGCAGTGGCAAGACAGGAGAGGTCTTCTGTGCCATATGGGTCAGCTCCCTGGCTGGGAATCGAACTCATGGTGCAGTGGCTGCCAATAGCTTCTTTGTGCCAAGACTTAACCCCTTGCACCATCAGGGAGTCCCCAGGATGTGTTTAACTTTTTATTAAATTATCAACCTCTTTCCAAAGTGGCTATATCATTTGACATTCTCATCAGAAATAGAAATAATTTATAGTTGCTACACATTCTCCCCAACACTTGCAATGTGAAGTATTTCTAATCATAGACATTCTAATCAAGGTGTAGTGATATCTCATGGTGGTTTGAATTTTCATTTTCCTAAATCCTAATGCTTTTGAACAACTTTCCATGTGATTTTTTTTTTTCCATCACTATACCATCTTTGGGGAAATATTGGCTCCTTGTATTTCTCATTGAATTTGGGAGTTCTTTATTATATGCATTGAACATTGAATATGTAAAATAAATCTTGGATTCAGTTCTTTATCAGACATTTGTTTTGCAGATTTCTCTCTTAGTTTGTTGCTTGTCTTTTCATTTTCTAAACACTGTTTTTCAAGGAGGACAAGTTTTGAATTTTGATGAAGTTAAGCCACTTTTTAAAAATTATGAGTAGAGAATTTGATGTCATAAGTAAATAAATAAATCTGTTTAAACCAAGGTCACAGGGATGTTTTTCTGGAGCTTTGTTGTAGACATTTTACAGTTCTAGACTGTACATTTTACAGTTCTAGACTGTACATTTAAGTCTATGATTTAATAGACCCATGATAGACTTTTAGCTAATTTTCACAATGGTATGAAGTTATTTTTTCTTATTCATTTTTTTTAATTGCACTTGGATATCTAATTGCCTCAGTACCACTATTGAGAAGATTCTACTGAATTCCTATTAAGACTTTGTCAAAAATTGTCAACCATAAATATAAAGGTCTAATCTACTAATTATTGGTCTGGTTTGACTTTTTGTTTTCTCTTTGTCCAAACTATTGCTGCTGTTCCTCATTTTTCCTTTCCTGGCTTTTCAAAAGCCAATAAAATACAACTTTTATATGTCTTTTTTAATTTACCTATTAGATTTTTAGTTATATTTATATTTTTAAAATGATAGCTGTGGTTTACAATGTTTTCTTAATTTTTTCACAGTCTATTTATAAATAATATTGTGTCATTTCAAATAAAATGTAGGTATTTTACAGCAGTAATATTTCACTCATTCCCTAAGGTGACAAAGTGTGGTTTTCACGTATTTATCTGCTTGGGATTCTTAGATTTTTAAGCTGATTTTTTTCATAAAATTTGTTATTATTTGTTCAGATATTTTCTGCTCCATTTTCCACTCCTTTTTCAGTACTTCAATTACACGTAAGTTAGGTCTCTTGATATTGATGTGCAGATTTCTGAGATTTTGTTCATATATTTAAACTATTTTTACTTTGATTAGTTCTATTGCTCTGACCTTAAGTTTTATAAATTTCTCTTCTGTGCTCTCTAGCTCACCACTAAACACATTCAGTGAATATATTATTTCACAATTTTTATTTACCATTTCTAGAATCACCAGTTGTTTTATTTTCTGTTTGCCATCCATTTACTCAAAATGACCATCTTTACTTTTAATACCGAGAAACATAAATAACTGCTTATTTACCAGATTTATTGACATATAATTGACAAAATTGGAAGATATTTAAGTTGTACATGTGAAGATTTGATATATACATACACTGTGAAAGGATTCCCCCCTCAAATTAATTAATTCATCTATTGCTGCATGTATTTACCTGTTTTGTTGAAAGCATTTAAGTTCTATTCTTTTAATAAATTTTGGTTATATAATGCAGTGTTAGCAACTAAATTCATTAAGTTATATCTTATATCCTCTGACCTTATTCAGCTTTTAATTAAAAGTTTGTATCCTTTTATCAATGTAATGTCTTTTAAAATCCCTTGCCTTACTAATTGTAACATGTGGGTGTATTGGAATCTGTTTCTGTTAATTTTTTTCTTTATTATTTCATTTTTCTCTTTTGCATTTGTAGTAATATTTGATTTTACGCTACATAGAAGCAATGGTAAGTTGGTGGGAACCTGGATTATAGTATCTGAAGAATGTTGACTGTTCTCCAGGTGGACAGCTAAGTTACTAGTGGGCACTTTTTATTCTGTCACATTTGATTTTATTTGTTAAGGTTTGTGTGTTTGGTTTTGTCATCAGTTCTAGAGTGTTGACCTTACTTTATGTTATTCCTAAAGTAAGTCCTTTCTGGGGTTTTAGCAGAATGTATGTGAAACTCAGTCACTTAACTCTTGGCTAGACTGAAAATCCATGAGTTGGTATGTTTGAGTACTTTATTTAGGGGTGAGGAGAAGCCTGAAGTTGAAGTCCCCTCTCCTTCATTTCCAGGGAACATTTTAGCAAGAGATGTGTTAGCCTTGAGATACTGGTGGTGCTGCCTGGTTGCCTAGGTGAGGATGACATAGGTAAGTTGGAGAAAGGGCATCATTTACAAGTTTTCAAGGGGCAGCATTGCCAGGTTTGACAGAAACTGCAGTGCAGAGTGGCGGGGAGGCAGCCCTCTCACAGACAACCTGCTCAGCTGTGGTGGTGGAGAGGCAATGCCCCAAATATTCCGTAATTAAACTCCTTCACAGAGCTTAGAGAGAAAGGGCAGATGTGTATTTATTTCTGAGCCAATGGGAACTGAAACTCATCCTTTGGCCACCCAGAAATAACTGAGAGATGGTCAAAGACCTTGGGGTGTGGGGCAGGGGAAACACGAATAAGACTGTGCTGTTCTTTGGGTATGGCTCTGGGCCAGAAAGAAATTATTATTAATATTAATGTGACCTGATTTTACCTTCAGACTGCTGAGACTAGGAAGTTCAGGTTACACATAGTGCATTTATTTTACAAAGCTTTTCCTTCTCTTATTATATTCCTATTAAACCTGTGATTGGGACTATCCCTTGGGTTTGCCCTTGCATCTGCAGCTTCAAGGCCAAATCTCACTGTGTTTAGAACTTCGTCCTCATCATTCTCAAAAGGAGCCAGGTTATGGTGGATATCAAAGGAATCCTTGAGAAGAGATAGCTCACAACAGGAATGGAGAGGTAGTGCTCACTCTTCCCCTCATTTTGGGTGGTGCTGGCAAAATGGGAGAAAGTTTAGTGTGTGTGGGTGACAGCACACTTAGCC